CCTCCCCTGAGCCTCCTTTGCTCCAGGCTCAGCACCCCCAGCTCCCTCAGCTGCTCCTCCCCACACTTGGGCTCTAGACCCTTCCCCAGATTTGTTGCCCTTCTCTGGCCACATTCCAGCCCCTCAAGGACCTTCTTGAAGTGAGTGGCCCAAAACTGACACCAGGATTCGAGGTGTGGCCTCTCCAGTGCTAAGTCCAGGGGGATGATCCCTGCCCTGCTCCTGCTGGCCACACCAGTGCTGATCCAGGCCAGGCTGCTGGTGGCTCACTTGGCCAGCTGGGCACACACTGGCTCATCTTCAGCCAGCCATTGACCAACCCCCCAGGTCCTTCTCCAGCAGGCATCTTTCCAGCCACTCTTCCCCAAGCCCTGCACTCCTGCCCCTCACTCCTGCACCCCAGGAGCTGGACTTGCCCAGCACTGCCCCTCACTGCAGCTGCACTCCAGTTTGAAGAGCATTTGGGCAAAGCATACCCTTGCCAGCAGCCAGGACACGGCCTGAGGATGCCCACAGGAAGAGTGCCCACGGGGGACACAGTGGGTGCAGGGAGGTGTCCACCTAAATCCAGGACATGGGGGTGGGGAGGCAAGGGGTGGGACAGTGTCATTGCTCCACCACTTGGCTAGAGGATCTCCCGTGCAGATGCAGGATGCACATCTCCAGGGGACTGACAGCCTCACAGCATGAAGTGTGCTCACCACAGCAGCCTCACAAGCTGCTGCTGGGAAGATTTGCTGCTGGAACAGTTTCCCAAGAGAAACTCTGGTGCCTGCAGATGAAAACTTCCAGGAGAAAGATTGCCAGTGCTTTTCAAATGAAAAACTTACTGAGCTATTTGATTTTAAGTCCATTTGTTCTGAATGTGTTGGGTTTGATTCAAAACCTTCTAACAATGCAATAAAACCCTGATCTGCAGTTTCCTATCAGCAGGATATTTCCGGAGCAGGGAAGGGTGTGAATACAGCCCTGGAGCACATTCACCTCTCCAGGCTGGCTCCCTGGGAGGCCACCCATTCCCACCACACAGCCAATGTTTCCTCCTGCAGGTTTCACACGTGTCATCCCAGAGGTGTGTGTGCCCTGCAGGGAATGGGCAGTGGGGAAACGGGGCCAAACTCCCACACCCCAAATCCTCTGGGGTGCAGAATCGTGGCCCCACACTGAGCCAGCCCAAAGCTTTCACAGGCAGGGTCTGCTCAACCAGCTTTAAGTGGTTTCATTTGGATTTAAATCCTGACATGAACCACAGGCTGGAGCAGCTCTGCACGTGCTGGTAGCACTTTTTCCCTCACCAGCTGGCAAACAGAAAAATGAGACAAGCTTCCAGGCACACACAGCATCCCTCACATCAACAGGTACCACCTCCACTGCCCAAATCCTGGCTGGCGTGTGTGCTGGGACCATCCCAGCCACCCCATGACCACCACGAGGAACAAAACCCCCAAGAGCAGCCAGCTCAGTGCAGAACTTTCCTCTATTTCTGCATTCTTTCCAACATCAACTTCATTCTAAGCCCTTCCCTTGCCCCACCAGGGCCCATCCTGCTCTTGGATCTGCAATCCACACGCTGAGGAGGCTGTGAAATAAAACCTCCTCCTGCTGTAAGCTACACCAGCTGTAGGGATCACCATGTGCCATCTGACTGTACACACCAGAATGCACAGGACCCAAACCCCGTGGAGAGATTTATTCACATGTGATCAGAGGCAGGATGACAAGCAGCAGCTTTTGTATGACACTCCAGTTTCCCTGAAGGTTGGGATGTTCTTTCTTGTTTATAATAAATTAAGCCCTTTTATTTTGGATCACAGCAGATCCAAACTCAAACACGTCACCTTATGGGTCAGAACATTACTCACAAAGCTTCCAGATGAGAAGGAGCAGGAGCTGGCAGCTCGAGGCCTCAGCAAAGAGCTGTGAGCCCAGCCCCAGGGGCTCCCTCTCAGCTCACAGCAGCACTAAATCCATTACTGCTCACTGCAGAGGATTTGTGGGTAAGAAAGAGCAGCATGAGAAGTTCCACCACCCTCCCAAGCCCCATCAGGGCAGCACACAGACGTGTCTGCCTGGATCATGGTGACAGAAGAGCTCGGATAACAACAGCCACCAAACCCCCCAGCCCCATCACCTCCAGCCTGGAGAGGAGCAGCCAGCAGAGCTGAGCCAGCAAAAGGCTCCCAGGAGGGTGAGGTGCTGCTGGCAAGCCCAGGGAGGGAGCACTTGCTGCAAAGAGCAGGACAGGAGCAGATCAGGAGGGGGAGGGACCCCTCAGGGTGACAAGGGACAAAAAAAATCCCTGTCCACACAAGCATCCCTCCCTTATGCTTCTCTTATTCAGATCAGATGCAAGGGAGTTCTTCACTGTGAGGGTGGTGAGACACTGGCACAGGTTGCCCAAAGAGGTTCCATATGCCCATCCTTGCAGACCTGAGACCCCCCCCAGCCCCACGTGCCACTGCCACACGAGAGTGCCACTTCACTGGCCCCAAATCCCAGCTCTCACCTGACAGCAGGCCATGCCCAAATCCCCTCCATGGCAAACACAACCTTCACACCACAACACGATGCTCCCATCAGCCCAGCAAGGCATCCAAACTCCCTCCAGTGCTTCCAGCC